TCACTAGGGACATATTGTGGTCTATGTATTCACACGTGTATTACGATTTCCGGATAATACAGTTATAGCATGAATAAAAGACAATTATCATGAACAAGGAAATATAATAATAATACTTTTATTATTGCCTCTAGGGCATATTTCCAATAATTTATGCTACCATCGTTCTAAGAAAATACGATGTAAACATGACAAACATCACATGCAAATCATAAAGTGACATGATATGGCCAATATCATCTTGCGCCTTTGATCTCCATCTTCGAGGCGCGGCATGAACACCATCGTCACCGGCATTACACCATGATCTCCATCATTGTGTCTTCATGAAGTTGCCTCGCCAACTATTACTTCTACTACTATGGCTAACGGTTAGCAATAAAGTAAAGTAATTACATGGCATTTTCATTGACACGCAGGTCATAAATAAATTAAGACAACTCCTATGGCTCCTGCCGGTTTTCATACTCATCGACATGCAAGTCGTGATTCCTATTACAAGAACATGATCAATCTCATACATCACATATATCATTCATCACATCCTTTTGGCCATATCACATCACATAGCATACCCTGCAAAAACAAGTTAGACGTCCTCTAATTGTTGTTGCATGTTTTACGTGGTTGCTATGGGTTTCTAGCAAGAACGTTTCTTACCTACGCAAAACCACAGCGGTGATATGCCAATTGCTATTTACCCTTCATAAGGACCCTTTTCATCGAATCTGATCCGACTAAAGTGGGAGAGACAGACACCCGCCAACCACCTTATGCATCAAGTGCATGTCAGTCGGTGGAACCTGTCTCACGTAAGTGTACGTGTAAGGTCGGTCCGGGCCGCTTCATCCCACAATGTCGCCGAATCAAGATAAGACTAGTAACGGCAAGCAAATTGAACAAATCATCGCCCATAACTACTTTATGTTCCACTCGTGCATAGAATCTACGCATAGACCTAGCTCAGGATGCCACTGTTAGGGATCGTAGCAGAAATTCAAAATTTTCCTACGTGTCACCAAGATCAATCTAGGAGACGCTAGCAATGAGAGAGAAGGAGTGCATCTTCATACCCTTGAAGATCGCTAAGCGGAAGCATTACAAGAACACGATGGATGGAGTCGTACTCGCAGCGATTCAAATCGCGGAAGATCCGATCTAGCGCCGAGCGGACGGCGCCTCCGCGTTTAACACACGTACAGCCCAGGGACGTCTCCTCCTTCTTAATCCAGCAAGAGGAGAGGAGAAGTTAAGGGAAAGCTCCGGCGGCACGATGATGTGGTGATGGTGGAGCTCGTGGTTCTCCGGCAGGGCTTCGCCAAGCACTATGGAGGAGAAGGAAGAGTTGGAGGAGGGAGGGGCTGCGCTAGGGAAGGGGTGCGGCTGCCCTCTATCTACCTCACTATATATAGGGGGAAGGGGGGTGGAGGAGGCGCCCTAGGGTTCCCTAGGGGAGGGGCGGCGGCCACAGGGGAAACCCTAGATGGGTTTGGGCGCCCCCAACCCCTAGGAAACTTGCCCCCCAAGCCGGGAGGGGTGGCTGCCCTAGGGGAGGCGCCCCGACCTCTCCACTTTACGTGAGAGGGGGTGGGAGGGGCGCACATCCCCTTAGTGGGCTGGTGTGCCCCCTCCCCTTGGCTCATAAGGCCCCCAACGCTTGTCGGAGCCTCCGAAACACCTTTCGGTCACGCTGGTCGTCACCCAGTACTCCCGGAACAATTCCGGAATCCAATACCCTTCGTCCAATATATAGATCTTCACCTCTGGACCATTCTGGAGTTCCTCGTCATGTCCGGGATCTCATCCGGGACTCCGAACAACCTTCGGTAACCACATACTATTTCCCATAACAACTCTAGCGTCAACGAACCTTAAGTGTGTAGACCCTACGGGTTCGGGAACCATGCAGACATGACCGAGACAACCTCCGGCCAATAACCAATAGCGGGATCTGGATACCCATATTGGCTCCCACATGTTCCACGATGATCTCATCGGATGAACCACGATGTCGGGGATTCAATCAATCCCGTATACAGTTCCCTTTGTCTATCGGTATGTTACTTGCCCGAGATTCGACTGTCGGTATCCCCATACCTCGTTCAATCTCGTTACCGACAAGTCTCTTTACTCGTTCCGTAACGCATGATCCTATGGCTAACTCATTAGTCACATTGAGCTCATTATGATGATGCATTATTGAGTGGGCCCAGAGATACCTCTCCGTCACACGGAGTGACAAATCCCAGTCTCGATTCGTGCCAACTCAACAGACACTTTCGGAGATACCCGTAGTGTGCCTTTATAGCCACCCAGTTACGTTGTGACGTTTGGCACACCCAAAGCATTCCTACGGTATCCACAATCTCATGGTCTAAGGAAATGATACTTGACATTAGAAAAGCTTTAGCAGACGAACTATACGATCTTGTGCTATGCTTAGGATTGGGTCTTGTCCATCACATCATTCTCCTAATGATGTGATCCCGTTATCAACGACATCCAATGTCCATGGTCAGGAAACCATAACCATCTATTGATCAACGAGCTAGTAAACTAGAGGCTTACTAGGGACATATTATGATCTATGTATTCACACATGTATTATGGTTTTCGGTTAATACAATTATAGCATGAACAATAGATAATTATCATGAACAAGGAAATATAATAATAACCATTTTATTATTGCCTCTGGGGCATATTTCCAACAGTCGGCTCATCCTAGTAAAAGTTGTCATCGCAACAAGGCCGATACACCAACTTCTCGTGATGAAGCCGCCAATTTGGGTGCTCGAGGACATGGATAGTTGGATGCGCGCATTTTCTGGGCTGGCAAAGATCGAGTGCACGGAGGCCAGTGCCTTGTGGCTTGGAATGCTATATGCAAACCGCTGACATTTGGCGGCCTCGGAGTGAAGAACTTGGGGATGCAAGCCCTCGCCTTGAGGGTGCATTGGGAGTGGTTGAGGCGCACGGATGACCAAAGACCGTGGTAGGGGCTCCAGTATCCGGTGGATGAGGACGCGAGGATGGTGTCCGACAGCTTGGTCAAGATCGAAGTAGGCAAGGGGAACAAGATTCTATTTTGGAGAGATAGATGGATCCACGGTTTTCCAGTTCAAGACATTGCCCCTACTCTGGCCAATGTCGTTGACACTAAAACGAGGAACGCAAGAACGGTAGAGCAGGCTTTGATCGGTGAAAGATGGATTCATGATGTGCCACCGCAAACCTCCATGGGCGCCTTGCTGCAATCTGAGCATCTCAGGCACGCAATCGCCACTTTGCCAAGAGACGAGTTGGCAAATGACAAGTTCACCTGGCCTCACGACAAATCAGGAGAATACATTGCAAAATCCACTTACAAGCAACTTTGCCAAGGCGGGATTCGTGCCCCGATAGCTGAGGCGATTTGGAGGAGTTGGGCACCTCTAAAATGTAAAATCTTCGCTTGGTTGGCCGGACAACATCGGTTGTGGACCTCTGACAGACGTGCACAACACGGCTTGCAGGATGAGACATCGGAGTGCTTCCTATGCTCGCAGGAGGAGGACAACGTAGAGCACATCTTGATGCAATGTGTTTACGCAAGGGAAGTGTGGCACACTTGCTTCGACACACTACAATTGAACAGTCATGCACCGGGTGCATAGGATACTTGGGAGGCTTGGTGATGCACTGCAAGAACAAAATATCAGGGGAAGGATAGGAGGGGGTTCGATTCTCTTGTCATCGGAGTGGCTTGGTCCCTATGGAAGCAGAGGAACGCGAGAGTGTTCAACCGGCCAGAGCAATGCAAAGGACCACGGGATCTAGGTAGCTGGATCTTAGAGGAAATCCTCGAATGGAGGCAAGCGGGTGTGGGAGTAGGAGGACTAGATAGATTTGTGAGACATTGATCTATGTGTAATGGTTGGTGTGGGAGTCCCGGCGGTTGATGTTCGCATCGACTAACGGATTCTTGTAATTATTTTGCTCTTTTCTATAAAAATATGGTACGCCATTGATGTATTCTCGATTTTTTTTATTTATGAACCACCTCATTACGGGTGTGCCATGCCTGTCAATGACATCATGAGAAGCATTGAATAATGTTCAGCTTCTGGTAGAGGCTCTAACGTATGTAGAAGCCACTTCTTCTCAGTATCCAGCATCATAGTAATACTTGGCAATGTCCAAACTCCAGCCATTGTATCCCATAGTACTCGTGACAAAGGTGCAGCGACAGAGGGCATGTAAACATCCTCAGATTCATATTGGGCATAGGTCGCTTGTCTCAAGTCCCAGGACGTGCTTATTCCTCCACGTTGGCAGTGAATCAGTAGCGACTCGCCATGCAAAATTGCGTACTATTGGGGGGACATCCGATGACAAGATAAGTCACTCATCAGTGAAACAAATTTTAGATAGTAGTGAGAAAAATATTCTGGACAACTAAAGCATAACAAATACTGTCAAAACATATCCATTTTGTGTCTTATTTTGAATGTATCATTATGAAGAACGTAACAGACAGAGCGATAAGATAAAAACATCATGCATACATACAGTTGTAGTACGCACTGAA